TAAACTGGCCACATGCACTGCAGATGCTCTAAGAAGCGTCATAGACTGTCCAATCACAACCCACAAGATCTAAGCGTCCCCATGATAATCCATAAATCACATTTGTAACACAAGTGATGGCTGCATGAGATCTGTGTCAGATCCCAACATTCATATATTGAGTATAATCTAGGAGGTGAATATATACAAATCCCAACAGATCACCTGTGTAGCCCTTACAAAGTTATGAAATCATCTTTTAATGCCAGTACTGGATTTACACACAAGTTTATCCTGAGTGCCACCCAGTAGCTGAGATAGATTTTACATCAGGAGGGTGTAGTCCAGCCATTGCGGTTTAACCAACTCCTGGATCCTGCACTGTGCATGAAACGCACTCCTGGATCCTGCGCTCTGGATGAAACGCACTCCTGGATCCTGCACTGTGCATGAAACGCACTCCTGGATCCTGCACTGTGCATGAAACGCACTCCTGGATCCTGCACTGTGCATGAAAACGCACTCCTGGATCCTGCGCTCTGGATGAAACGCACTCCTGGATCCTGCACTGTGCATGAAACGCACTCCTGGATCCTGCACTGTGCATGAAACGCACTCCTGGATCCTGCGCTCTGGATGAAACGCACTCCTGGATCCTGCGCTCTGGATGAAACGCACTCCTGGATCCTGCGCTCTGGATGAAACGCACTCCTGGATCCTGCGCTCGATGAATGAAACGCACTCCTGGATCCTGCGCTCTGGATGAAACGCACTCCTGGATCCTGCGCTCTGGATGAAACGCACTCCTGGATCCTGCGCTCTGGATGAAACGCACTCCTGGATCCTGCGCTCTGTATGAAACGCACTCCTGGATCCTGCGCTCTGTATGAAACGCACTCCTTGATCCTGCACTCTGTATGAAACGCACTCCTTGATCCTGCACTCTGTATGATACACACTCCTGGATCCTGCACTCTGTATGAAACGCACTCCTGGATCCTGCGCTCTGTATGAAACGCACTCCTGGATCCTGCGCTCTGTATGAAACGCACTCCTGGATCCTGCGCTCTGTATGAAACGCACTCCTGGATCCTGCACTCTGTATGAAACGCACTCCTGGATCCTGCGCTCTGTATGAAACGCACTCCTGGATCCTGCGCTCTGTATGAAACGCACTCCTTGACCCTGCACTCTGTATGAAACGCACTCCTTGACCCTGCACTCTGTATGATTGTGCTGGGGCAATCAAATCATATTTTATAGGTACAAGGAAGCAAGGTTTTTTTTAACCACGCCCCTTAGTCCCCTTCCCAGTGTTAAGCATTTGGCCACACCCATTTCTGCCACAGCGCGCTACGCATGCTGCAGGGCACTTCCTCCCTCATGTGTCCCTTATTCTGAAATTCAAAAGTTGGGAGGTATGGTGTCCCCATTGGAAGACTTCCCTTTTATTAGTATTGTGATATGAACTGGGGCAGGTTTAAGAGGGGGCTAGTTGTAGAGGACAGATACTTTCCCTTCAGGCCTGTTCACTAACCAGCTGATCAGAGAGGCCGGCTGATGGCAGTTTTGCTCTGCAGTCAGGAGACCTGGATGTCTATATAGCCTGACCTGCTGGATGAGCTCAGTTTACCTCTAACAGGGGCCTTGAAATGCTGTGTGTGCTGTGGCTGGAAAGCTGAAAGTCATTCATAAAAGACTGCGTTCCAGTGATGGGAAGAGTTACCCGTCATGTTTGAGCTGAATCTGAAGACACTTTCTGTCACTTTCCTATTTTCTGAGAAAAAAGTGAATTTTAAATTTTACCAAACTGTCTGCCAAGAGCCTGTTTACCCCGTTGATCCTAACAGCCCAAAATATGGGATTTTCTTATGCCTTGCATTCTATGCATTAGAGTAAAACCTTGTGCATGCCGATCCCCACCTCCCCCTCATACTGTGATCTCGATCCAGCGTTGTACACGAGAGCAGCAGCTCTTGTCTCTCTCCCTCCTCATTGGCTCATGCTGCTGTCAATCACAGCGACAAGGGAGCAGTGGGTGGGCCAAGCCGCACTGTGTGTGTCAATGGACACAGAGAGCAAGCTCAGGAGAGAGCACACAGGAGTGCCCCTATAGCAAGGCTTCCTATGGTGGGCACTCAGCAGGGGGGAAGTAGGCTGGAGTGCCGGGGGGAGGACCCAAGAAGAGAAGGATCAGGGCTGCTCTGTGCAACACCAATGCACAGAGCAGGTAAGTATAACACGTTTGGAATTTAAAAAAAGAAATGTGATTGTTTATAATCACTACTACAAGTATATGGCGCATGGAACTCTTTATCTTCTGATTGTGTTTTTCTCCTGCAGAGTAAATGAACAATACGATTGTTTATAAAAGTGATCCATGTATGGCCAACACTGCAGGCACACTGAGGTTGGTTTACTAAAACTGGAGAGTCAGAATATGGTGTAGCTGTGCATGATAGCCAATCAGCTTCTTCAATTAAGCTTTGACCAAAAAAAAAAAAAATAAAAGCAGATTGGTTTCTGCGCAGAGTTGCACCAGATTTTGCACTCTCCAGTTTTAGTAAATCAGCCCCACAATGACAATATGAACACATTCTGCATTCTTCAAATGGGGGGATTGCTAGAACCTCTACATGACTGCCAGGCCAACCAGCATTTTCAGAAGCAGAGGCCTGCAATAGCTGCCCTCCAGATCCAGTCCTGCAATGTATGGACTTTGGTATACTCTTGTATTTCTTTCAAACCTGTTTATGACAATGAAAGGACTGAACATGAATGACAGGCGTTATTGTGACAACACAGTGCTGGAGGACACACCATGTGATCTCAGACATCGCAGGGGCTGGGCGTTCCCTAGAATCCGATACACTGAAAAATGACATGGTGACCATGTCACATAACAATGCCAACAAACAGAGATCTGTCCTTCCTGATCCGCAAAGTGCACAGTCCACACACTAATAACACACGGACACTCTTCTATAGTTACCTGCCGACTGTCATCTCACAACAGATCAAGAAATCGAAGAAACATGCTAAAATCAGGATCAGTAAACACCACGCTAAAATCGGTAAACAACACGCTAAACTCGGGATCGGTAAACACCACGCTAAAATCAGGATCGATAAACAACGCGATAAAATCGGGAACGGTAAGTAACACGCTAAAATCAGGATTGGTAAATAACACGCTAAAATCTGGATTGGTGAACAAAATGCTAAAATCCAGATCGGTAAATATACTAAAATCGGGATCGGTGAACAACAGGTTAAAATTGAGGTCAGTAAACAGCACGTTAAAATTGAGGTTGGTAAACAACACGTTAAAATCAGGATCAGTAAACAACACGCTAAAAATCGGGATCGGTAAACAACACATTAAAATCGGGAACGGTAAACAGCACGCTAAAATCGGGATCGGTAAACAACACATTAAAATCGGGAACGGTAAACAGCACGCTAAAATCGGGATCGGTAAACAACACACTAAAATCGGGATCGGTAAACAACACACTAAAATCGGGATCGGTAAACAACACGCTAAAATCGGGATCGGTAAACTAAAATCGGGATCGGTAAACAACACGCTAAAATCGGGATTGGTAAACAACACGCTAAAATCGGGATTGGTAAACAACACGACAAAATCGGGATTGGTAAATAACACGACAAAATCGGGATTGGTAAACAAAACGTTAAAATAAGGATTGGTAAACAACATGCTAAACTTGGGACCCCTATGTCAGAGGTTCATTCCTTTAGGGCGTTGCAATGCGTTAATGCATGCATAGTGTGCTACTGTGCATTGCGGTAACATGCGTCATTGCACACATACGTGTGAAGCTGGCTGTGGTTTGGTAATTTTTTCTTCAAACTGATATAATAAAAACACTCTCAATGGTATATTTAACAGACCAAAAAGGAGCGAATAGCTCATTGTTGGAATTTACATATACTTCAACTTGCAGAGTACAGACAAGGCATTGTAAGGTCTCCCAAAACAGAGATTAGGCTGGCCATACACTATACAATTATCTTCCAATTTTCTGCCCAATTTCCTTTAGATTTACCTTCAACTGTGTAGTGCAGCGGTTCGCGACCCCTTTGGGGGTCGAACGACACTTTCCCAGGGGTCGCCTAAGACCATCGGAAAACACATATTTCCGATGGCCTTAGGAACCGAGACACCGCTCCTTGATCCGTCTGCAGGTGTGGGCGGGATGACATGCCGTTCCTGTCATCTGGACACACCCCCGGGATCAATCCTTCCTCGTCGGTGATTGGCCGCCGGAACTGTAGCTCAAGAGAGGCACACAGGCGGCCAATCACCGGCGAGGAGGTGGAGCTTGGAAAGGAGGAGCCGAGCGGCACCACGAAGCACGAGCGAGTGAAGAGGAGGAAAGCGGCCGGAGAAGGAAGCCATCTGACCGGTAAGTGTTTTTACCATGGGAGAGGGAGCGAGCGAGCCCAGGCTGGAGCAGGGGTCAGCAAGGTAAGTATCATTGGTGTCAGTGGGAGGAATAGTGCCCAATCATTGGTGTCACTATTACCAATGATGGGGCACTATTCCTCCCCCCACTGACACCAACGATGGGGCACTATTCCTCCCACTGATACCAACGATGGGGCACTATTCCTCCCACTGA